GCAACAGTAAAAAGAAGAAAATAGTAGCAAAGAATATTAGAGGGGCGGGTCGGCAATGCTTAACGAAACATAGTCTCGTGTGCCGCCGCAACCTTGGTATTTCTTTATACACGTCTTAAAATGCTTGTATGGCGAGAGCATCGTGGGGCATTGACAGCATTTACCTTACAACAATGCCATTTCTCGGTATAGATTGTGCAAAGATAGAAAGGTAGAAATTTTCATTTTTGTACTTTAAATCAACGCACGGGATTTTATTCAGGCAGTATATTGCTCTAAGATCAACCATGGTCCCTGATCAGCGGACGGGATCAGGAACATACTAGAACAGTACCAGCATCACACTGTCAACCAAAGTCTAGTCCCCACTGATCTTGAGCTTTTTGCCTGTTGTACAGACATTATTGAGTATCTATGGCGAGTATCAAAAAAGGTCATAAATCAAAATACAAACCATTTTCAGAATTATATATGCAGAAATCTGTGTTGAAAAGATATACGAGAACAACGTGTTCTATCAATTTCGGTTCCACATAGCCTTATAATTCTATGCGGTAATATGACTGTTCTTCTTGAGCCCCTGATCGGTCATAAAGCAGTTTAACAAAAAACTGATTTTATGAAAAGCTGAGATACACTCAATAAATTTGTCAACCTCTCCCCCTCACACACTCTAGAGCCACCACCCTTTGCCTGTCATTTCACACTTCACTCTGCATCACTCAAAACAGCTTTTCTGTAGAGGTAAACAAATTCTGTTTTCTTAAAATTATGAAAGTATGTTCGGGTCAGCCTGCCTTCAAGGCTTGGTATTGGTATAGAAACAGTTATTCTGTAACCGACACTGTGCGACTTTTTGCATAAAAATGATGTAGCGTCACCGTTTCTAATATTCTTTTACCGGTGCTATATTTCTTGGAAACCTCTCTTTCTTTATTGCCTTACTAAAAGTTAAACTCGTCCATAGCGCCACATTTACAAACCTCCAGTTGCATGATGCAAGGTTTCAGCCAAACACAGAGACTTCACAACAGCCAGTCAATGTTGACATGATCGGTATGTCTCCTCTACTGCAGTAAACTGCAATGTTAGACTACAACACGGCTTCAGTTGTAAGTCGCTTAGAATAGAACCCAACTCAAAAGCTCCTCTCCAAATATGCATATGTGGAACCGTCATTGTAAAAGAGCTTCAAAAGTTGTCCCTCTCCAAATATTTTAGGTGGAAAACTAAACAAAATTATAGAGTAATCCATACAATTATAAAGTAATTTGTAACCATTATTTATATCCAGTAACGATACTTTTATAAAGTAATTTACATCAACGCACCTTAAGTACATTAACTGTTTGCTTTGACAGGCTTTCTTTTTTTGACATCTCATACACGTAATTTGCGTGTTCATTTTCTATTTGATACAAGTTCTTTAAAACCTGTAAACCAGTACTTTGACTAATATTTCTTATTCTTTTGATGAACAGGAGCATGTTTTTTAGCAGACACATTTGCAGCAAGATCCATTTGGTAAGGAAGGCAGTGTCGACAGACCTTCAGCTCATTCAGACTTTGTTTGTAAAGTTTGTTTTCGTTTTTCAATTGAGATACTGTCTCTTCATATTGCTCGATCCTCAACTGGGCCTAAAACTGAGCGATACTTTCAGTCAAAACCCTTGAGCCTCACAAATTACAAAAAACACATAAGATGACAGAAGTCAGCATAGGACAACCTCCTTGTGCTTCTGGTTTAGGCGCGCGTGGTCGCTCTGTAGCTTTGCAAGTTTTTTTTCATTTTCTCTCCGTTGTGCTTCCGATAACCTTCTTTCATCAATGGAGTGCCCTTTATTAAAACTCTTTGCTGCACGTAACGCGTCATTCTCCTTCTGAAAGGCACTCTTAACAACTGCCAAATAAACCAGCTAGCAGGAATGGAAGCCTTGTTATGCATACCTCTGAATCAAAATGAGTACTCGCACAAAAAACAAACCTTCAGCTCATTGAGACTTTGCTTGTAAAGTTCGTTTTCGTTTTTCAATTGAGATACTGTCTCCTCGTATTGCTCAATTCTTAACTGGGCCTAAAAGTAAGCAATATTTTTAGTCAAACCCTTGAGTCTCACAAATTACAAAAAAAAAATTTAAGAATACCTCATCCATAACCCTTTCTTTTTCGTGCTGAGCGTCTTCTAGGTCATGTCGTAAAGCTTCAATTTGATAGTCTCTTAAAAAAAAGAAGCTAGATAAAGCTTTAGAAAGACTTTTAAAATTATTGTAAACTTCGTATTTTTTACCTATCATACCCAACTGGCTTTAACCTCAGCCACTTCAAAAAAATAAAAAAAATGCAACTGCGATATGCATTTGCTGGAAATTTTAAATACCGCACTGTCAAGAACGTAACAAATAGCATTTTTTTAAAGAGTGTCTTCATCGTTTCTTGAAACAGCTCACAAAAGTGTTAAAAAACAGATTCCGGCAAAAAAATTAGAAATATAAAATATTAACCACCAAGACAATGACAGATTTAGGAGACAATAATGCAATTTGTCTGACATTTAGTAGAAATTTAAGATTCAAAGTAAAAAGTTTTGTAGAAGAAATATTTGAAGTTACTTTGGATCCCGTTCATTCTGCAAGGGAAGTTGAGAGTACGAAGACGAAGAGGGTTCAGAAAGTATTATCAAGGGCTTCTTAGTGGTAAAATCCTCTTCGACAAGCGAATTATTTTCAGCAGAACTGTTGCAGATTTCTACTGCCTCAATGATTTGAAGTTTCAGATCAGACGCCTAAAACAGCCTGTTTCTAAGGCAGAACTAGATGGTTAAGAAAACGACGCAAAGATTTATATCATACCTTTTGAAAATCAGGCAGCTGTTCAGGCAAGGTGGGTATTGTTACTAAGTTTTCAAAATACTGCAGTTTTGATGCTGTGTCAAAAAACGTCTTAATTTTAGCGTAGATTTCAATAAATTTGTCACATGAACCTTTAAAAACGTCAGAAGATAAGCCTAAAATTAAAGTTTTTGCTGTTTCGTAATAACTAAGTTACGTAAAAAATTTGAAAGCACCACTAGCAAAACATTATAAGGAACAGCTCATTGCATTCTGAATGGATATTCTATATTAATTAATCAGTGAAACTTTACGGCAAGGAAAGATTTTTGTACATATGCAGTGGTAATCTCTGAAACATTAAGACTTTCAACAACTGTAAGAACGGCATAATAATAACAGCATAAAAAAGAGAAGCAGTGATGACAACAGTAGTAATAATAAAAGATATGATAACTCATCTCTTTCTCAAAAAAACAATTATGAAAAACACGCAACTTACGTTCCCGAAGTTTAAACATAAATTTGAAATAATAGCGGTACAAAACACTGACATCAACAATGACCAAAACTAGCGGTGCAAGCAGGCATTGACCCTGAGCAGTTAATGAATTCCACTCAAGTACTCCAACTGCATAAAAAACTAAAAAATTAACCCAGGTATCTTAAGAGTAACATTATCAACTTATAAACAACTTAATTTTAGCTGAAAATCGAAAATTAAAGAAAAAGAAAGATGTACCAGTGGCTTGAAGTTGCATTAAGTTCTCCAACTGGGCAAGCACATCACTGCAAATTTCAAGTAACTGATCTATATCATTACCCATCAAAGCGTCCAACTGTGCATCTGTCAAACGAAGACTGCCAGGAAACACTGAGTTCTAAAAAAGTGAAAAAAAATTAAAATTAAAAAAGTAAAATTAAAATTATAAATTTGTATCTATATAAGAAGTTTCAAAGTTGCTTGTCATATACGTATAAAAATTGCCAAAAAAAGTATGATTAGAAAAACTGACAATGATAATAATAATGTTTTTAAAAATACAGAAG